TTCAACAAATTCAACCGATCTAGCAACTCAAATCAGATTTCTGACCTTCTCGAATCTCATCAAAAATACCACTAGTAAGCTTCAACATACCAAGCTTAACTCCATAAGAAGTATCTTCACAAACCAAACTCATATCACGGAATTGCTCAATCAATTCTAACTCTTTTACCATCATCATCGGTATATGCGAAGATTTCCTACTCAATGCATCAACTACCACACTTGCTTTATCCGAATGGTAATTCAAACCAAAACCATAATCCTTCAGAAGTCTCAATCATCTCCTTTTCCTCACATTCCATTCTTTCTGATCAAAGAAATAATTCAAACTCTTATGATCACTAAACATCTCAAATCTCGAACCAAACAAATAATGCCTCCAAAGCTTCGACGGAAACACAACAACAACCAACTCTAAATCCTGCGTTAGATAGTTTCTCTCATGCACTTTAAGTTGCCTTGAAGCATAAGCTAAAACTTGCTGATGTTGCATTAACACACCTCCCCATCCCATCAACGAAGTATCACAATATACAATAATGGTTATGCCGGATTCGGTAAAATCAAAACATGAGCTACTGTCAGCCTTCTCAAAAGCTCTTGAAACTTTCTTCACACTTTGCATCCAAAACAAAAGCTTGAACCTTCCTAGTCCATTGCATCAATGGCAAAGATAACTTGGAAAAATCCTTCAATGAATTTTCGTTAATAATCTGCCAACCCAAGAAAACTTCTAATCTCAAAAACAGGTTTTGGAGCTTCCCATTGTGATACAGCTTCAACCTTCGACATATCAACCGCAATAACTCTACTCGAGATCACATGACCAAGGAAACTCACTTCCTTCAACCAAAACTCACACTTTGACAATTTTGCATACAACTGCTTCTCTTTCAACGCTGATAACACAATTTTCAGATGCTCATCATTATCCTCTTTACTCTTTGAATATATCAAAATATCATCAATGAATACAACTACAAACTTGTCCAAATAAGGATGGAAAATCATGTTCATATACTCCATAAATACACATGGTGCATTAGTCACACCAAATGGCATCACGAAATACTCATAATGTCCATACCTTATTTTAAAAGCAGTCTTCTGAATATCTTCAGCCTTCACACGAATCTGATGATACCCAAATCTCAAATCTATTTTACTGAACACACTTGCAACAACCAACTGATCCATCAAACCATAAATCCTTGGAAGTGGACACTTATTCTTGATAGTCACCTTGTTCAATTATCTATAATCTATACAAAGCCTTACAGAACCTTCTTTCTTCTTAACTAACAAAATTGGCGCACCCCACAGTGACACACTCGGATAAAAGAACCTCTCCTCAAAAAATCTTCAAGTTAATTCTTCAACTTCTTCGATTCTGGTATGGACATACGATATGGAGTCATCGCTACCAAACTAGTCCCAGGAACTAGGTCGATCGTAAACTCCACTTCACGTTCTGGCGGTAAATCACTTATCTCATCAAGAAAAACTTCCGGATAATCACAAATAATTGACACACCACCAACTTCCCCACTTTATTAACACTCAAAATTCCCACCAAAATAAACATCTCAGCACCATCCTGCACCGACTCACCAAAACAATATGTAAGCACTTAGCTTAACTCAAAACAATTCACTGCACAAGCCATCTAAGCTTGCAAGACACGTCTATCCCATCCAACATGACTTCGTCTACTATCAGCAAGAGATTAAGGGTGAACAGTTCCTCAATTTGTCAATAGACAGCCTAAAATCATGATGGGGCATAAACCATCTTTACCAAATTATAAGAGCGTTCGTCGACACACTGAGCCACCACTCCAGACTTGAAGCATCTTGGAGAAGCACAAGCTTTTCCCCCACTTGTTTCATTCCCACTTCTGCAGAAAAAAGGTTAGAAAACAAACGTGTACCGAAAGTGTTTTCACACACATGTCGCATACTAGGGAACAAATAACATTAGACAAATTGGTCGGACGGGCCGACCTGCTCTGATACCACTAATGTAACACCCTTTTCTACCCCACAAATATAATGACAAATCAATCACATTTATCAGAGTAAAATATTAAACACAATAAAAATCACCTCAAATGGCGTACATTTCTCAATAATTCAAATAAAAGTTAATGCTCCGTAAACAACAGGTTTTCCCAAAATTACTAAAAAATTGCTTAAAAGGCAGCGGAACTCAAAAAGGAAAAATCCAAAGTTTTTCTTGTGCAAAAACATAATCAAAATAGCAATAATCAATAAAATATGGTTTAACTCAAAGACCCCAACCCAATGTTACACTATCAGAACAAGACCCTCTAAGTCAACCAAAAGTCAAAAACTCCAAAAAGTCCTCGAGGCATCCACGGCTAAACCTGGTCATCTTCACGTTACCCACGTGGAGGCAACATTCAAACAGGCAGGGTGAGTAAAACGATTCATAATAATCAATATATAAAATAGTGTCATTTTCGTATTCAACATCATCATAATCATCAAGGAAACATCAAAAAGCCATAATATCATAAATTACACCAAATTGTCACATAAATGCAAATGCAACAAGACTCATGCATGTGGTACCATTTCATCAAAGTTCGATGGACACTGGGTCATCAACCCTCCATAGATCCCCATCAATAGGATCGATTCTACACAAGAACCGGAGCACAACAAAATACTTCACATCCGCATAATGGGACTGAAGCCACAAGAATCAAACACTAGACCGAAGTCCGGAATGCATATGAATGCATGATGCACACGTCAATATCATCCTCATAATAAACTCATTAGGTGCATCATCATTCATCAAAATCATCATAATAATCATGTCATCATATAATCATCAAAAACTCATGGAATCAACATCATAACTCATCATCATTACTCATAGGAATCATCATACAATAATGTATTAATCACATATGAATCACAGTCATACTCAAGGTAATTCATCTAGAAAATCACAACATCAAAGCATCAAGACAACACAGCACAAGAACACAATTCGCGAAACTCTGATGCGTCCGCTGGACAGTTCTCCGTACGAGTCTGGGGTGAGTGTTCGTCGTGCGAAGGATTGTTTGCTGTGCGAACTCGCGATTACAACAAAACACTGTTACGCACCAGTAGCAAAACCAGGCCAAAAGTCTCTACGATTTCCTTCCCCAATGCCCCAAAAACATCTCTCAATCATTCCTAAGGTATTACAACGATAAAGGTACAAAATCTACGATTTATTAGGCCAATTCCGTATCATATTTACGCCTCCAAATTCCCATAAAATTCTTACAATTTTCCCACATTCATTAGAGTTCTCATAATCAATTACCCTATACGGCTAAAACCTCAACAACAGATTCCGGCCACGAAGACCTAATTTTCCTTACTCCCAAATCAACCTCAAACCTATCAGACCATCAGTTCAAATCCCTCAAACTCATTAAACTCACTAGAAATGCAACAATTCAATACTCAAAATCTCTAAACCCTTAAATCGGCTTTAAACACATTGAATCACATATTGAAAACAATTAAGGCAATACTCCCCATACTTAAACAACCTCAAAAACAGATTTAGCCATGAAGGCCTAATTTTCTCAACTCAAAAACCTCCTAAATCCTTAAATCGCCTTTAAATACATTGAATCATATATTGAAAATAATGAAGGTAATACTCCTCATACCTTAATTTTCCGACTCTAAACATTTCTTCTTTGATTCTTGAAAACCTCGTGAAGCTTTGCCTCAATCCTTTTCCTCAGAGCTCTGACCTTTATTTCTTCCCTTTTCACGGTCTAACAAGAATGAATCATAATTCCCTCAAAATTTCTTTTTGTTAAACCTAACTTTAGCCCTTTAAAATGGACTTTTCAATTTCACCCTCACTAAATTCTCCTCAAAAGTCCACTTTACCCTCAATTCATTTATATTTATATAAATTAATAATAATACCAATATATTCATATTATATACTATTATTTAAATAAATAACTCAATATCCATAATTCCCAATATTCACACCAACCACCGAAAATTACCAAAAATACGAATATTTATATTTAAATAAATTAAATAAATATTCCAATAAATTCGGGGTGTTACAACTCTCCCCCACTTAAAAGAATTTTCGCCCTAAAAAATTACCTCTAAAAAATAGACTCGGATACAACTCCCTCATCTACTCAACCTAGTCAACAAATTTACTCATAATATTTTTCATCTTCTTCACCTTTAATAACTTTTAAGTTTTTCTGACGCTTATTAGTCATATAACATACACAATGACATAAATAATATCACATATTCATTAAATATTCTACATTATTGCCAAATAATCTCAATGAGTGACTTTGACTAATAGATTATATAAAAATGACAAATTTAATACATTTTAAACGGCCGAGAGACCAAAATAATTCTTTTTAGAATTATGAAAACAAAAAATGAATCTCAAATACAAAATATGGAAAGAAAAAATATTAAACCTCAAAAAAAAAAAAGTCTTATAAAAAGTCAAGTGATTATTTAGTATCTACAATTTAAAAAGAGGTTAGATTCATAAAGAGGAGAGATGGATTTTTTTTCCCATCTTTATTGCAGGTTGTTTTGACATAGCACTCAACTAGTGATTCTTCAATTCTTCATCATAAAAAATATGGATTACAAATTTTGGTTGAGAAGATCATCAGCTAAGATATATTATACTCTATTGAAAGCTAAGTCTGCAACAAAGAAACGAATACCTATCTTTCTCCAAAAGGCACTTGAGATCCAAACCAGTTACCATATGCAAAGTATATTTAACCTTGCTTGTTCACCTCCAAATGGTGGCCCCTATAACAACCAACCAAAAGAAAGTTTCCTTTCCAAGGTTTCTTCTATTTCAAACAATCACATGCAATGCAAGTGGCTAATTGATATTTGATGATGATAAAACATAATAGTGACAGAAGAGAAACCTGAGAATAAAACTCGTGCGGAAGAATGGAGAATTTATGGAATCAAATGAGGTTAGTTGTTCTGAATTTAAGGGTCTTGATTTCACATGAACCTTAAACGATATTCATCAGCTTACGAACTTTACATGGACAATTTTGTTAGGTGGCAACTTACTGGTATGGATGAGAAGAAAGGTGATCTTGGTGCTACAAGGGATCAGAAAATACCTATTCAGAAAACTCAATCTTTCAAAGGTAATATGTTGTTATCTTTTTCATCTTACCTTCATTTCTCAAAAACTGTGTTGACGTTTTCAGCAGAGAAGAAAAGAGGTCAGAATTGGTTTCAAAAACAGCTTCCACTGAAAAGAAGTCATGATTTTGACTCTTCTGAAATCGAGCATGCTGCAGCAGTAGCTGCTGCTGCATTCTCGATTAATTTGCAAGAGGCCTCTGAGCAGACGAGTGAGAGGCCGGAGACCTCATCGGCCAAGACAAATAGTAAGGTGGGAAGCTCAAAATCTTCAAAGTCCCTACTTGCTAGTGCTTCCAAGCGATTATCAGGTAAAAATGAGCACATAGCGCTTCACTTATAACTAATAATTACCATTGTTGAGGGGAAAAAAAAACAAGTTTGTTAAACTTTGTCTCCATCATGTTTAGGTTCATTTAGATATAAAGATGATCAGGGTGACAAGGTGTCAATATCCTCAGTTTCAGAAGAAAAGAAGCCGGAAAAGGCCATTACACCTGCACCATCAATGAAAAAGGCTTCAACTTTAACTGATAAAAAACCTGTTACCACAACACCAAAAGCTCCTCCTCCTCTTCCACCTCCACCTCCACCTCCACCACCACCACCAATTCAGAAGACTTCAAGGGAACCTAGCCCTCTAAGACAGACTACAACAGGCACAAACATTCCGGAGACAGATGCAGATGTATGGGAGAGAACCGAGCTCAACAAGATCAGACAAAGGTACTTAACAACAAGATTACATTGAATTTCCACCAAAGAAACTGCTTTAAACCAGAACTAGAATAAATACTATCATCATTTGACTCAGTTTATATAATAATGAAAAACATTGTCAGGTACGAGAAGCAGAAAGAGATGATAGATTCATGGCAAGACAAGAAGAGGATGAAAGCCAAACGAAAGCTAATTAAGCATGAGGTTTCACTCAGACTCTTTATTTTAAACAGATCATCAAGTTCTTCTTTAGCTAATATCAGATAATGTTTTGGGTTTTGGCAAAATTTGTGTCTTTTTCGTTGCATTTTCAGAGTAAAAAACAAATGAGTATATATGCGATGTGTAAAACAATTAGCATTCTAATTTGAACATCATGCATAGTTGATAAATTTAAACCTTAACTGGAATGATGAAAACAATTACAGTGGCAGATAAGAAATTTCATGGGAGATGATAATTGAACTCTAACGGAAAAGAAATTTCATGGGAGATGATAATTGAACTCTAACTGAAAGACTAATTGCGAATGTCTAATTCTAAACTGCAGAGTGAACTTGAGCGGAGAAGGTTTAAAGCTTTGGAGAAATTTCAAAACAAGATGAAGTATGTAAATCAAGTTGCAGACGGAGCGAGAGCCAAGGCTGATGAAAACCGAAAGAATGAAGAGCTACAAGCAAAAGGGAAGGCAGGTGCAATTCGAACAACAGGCAAACTGCCACGGATTTATTTCTGTTTCTGAGATCGCCAATTACATAACATCATAGTGTTTGGGAGGAATATGTCTAAATGATTGTTACAGTGATATCCATATTTCTTGGCCATCATCATTTACAGTAAAACCATACATGATGCTATAAAAATTGAAAAACAAAACTGTAAGCTTCAACAAATGCATGAGCTGCTACTTGTGTATATCAATTACAGCTTTTCATGTTTTAACATTTAGTTTTGGTAGCACAGTTTGATTATCAACTTCATTTTCAGTAAATGACAAATTAACCAATAAAATGATTGTGTTTCAAAACATTACTGATCAAGCTATCCTAAATTGTTAATTTCCCTTATCCTCAGAAAATAATTGAAGGGCTGGAGAGTAATTTAAGCTTATAGAATGAAGCATCTGCCAATTTGACTCTTATATGTAAATCCAAGTATTATTTTCTACAAGCAACATATTTTCTACTAGTATTCACATAACCATTAGTAATTTTGCATATATAATTTAAGCATGTAAAGACTTCTTTGTACAATAGTTAAACTTGACTTCAGAAAGAAAAAAAATTACAACTGACAATCATCTTCAAGTAGATATGAAGGTTGCACAAAAAACTACAGAAAAAAATAAATTGTATAAAATACGAAAAACCTAAAAATAACAAAGAAAGCACCGCCACATGGTAGAACACTCAATCCAAAAGTATATAGTGAATTTGTTATAGTCTGATAAACATGCCACAGCTGACTGTAGGAGCAAGGCTACATCTTATGATGTTATTTCTCTAATCAATCTCTGGATCGTTGGGTATGCAAAGTACAATAAGAGGAATGATGGGATGGCAAAAACAATAGTGAGTAGGAAGTAAATGATTAAAATAACAACACTGCAAGGAATTACAAAAAAGGCTATCAGAAGCAAAGTGATGACCAATGGGAACTTGGATGTGAAGTGAAGGAAGAAATCCAGAGATTTATGAAAGGAAAAATAGTGTCTCTCTCCATCACTGACATGGACTGCGTTGTTAGATCCCAATTGTCCAGAACAATGACTACTTGATGGCCTTCTAAGGTTACAACTAGTACCTTGACTTCCCAAAAGGTTGAACTTAGGAGACCAAATTGGTTGGCTGTCCACAGAAGCAGAACCAGCCTTATGCCTATCACCATTCAGGCTCTCAACCATCCAAAGAAGGAAGAAATTTTTGCGAGGAAATTTCAGATTCCCCTTGTAGATGAACCGGAATGATAGTAGGTGGCACCATGGACAAGTAATGAAGAACGGAATCTTGATTTGTTGGGTAGGAAATTTCATTACAGCCCATTGAAGTCCTAGGACGCAATTTTTACAGAGGGTGTGGCCACACCATAAAACATAAGGCACATTCTCAACTATATTGAAGGATTCCCAGCATATTGGGCACTCCAGCCCTTCATCTTTGCTAGCATTAGAGCAAACCTCATCATCCGAGCATTCTGCACAGCTTAGGATCGGCTCTGTAGAGCTTCTTTTCATTCTAATGCTTGTAAGGGCATGTGATGCAAAATTCCACATCTTTAAAGATGAAAAGTTTACAATGCAAAGGCAGAAATCACAGCAATATCTGTATATAAGCCATTGTCACACAAAAGAATAACTTTCCCAAAAGCTGAGCTCCAGCAGTTAGCTTCCCCTGTTGACTACCAAGCCCTTTCAACCTCAACAAAAATCTACACATAATAAAATAAGAATAACAAAATCTTAATTTGTGTAGAAGTAATTGCTTAAAATAAGTACAATCAGTGCCACTGTAAGATGTCCATACGAAAAGAAAAACTAACATAATTTTTAAAAACATCGACATCCAAGACAAGTATACCCATTACTAGAAGATTCTATGCCAAAATTGAAAGGCCACAAGTTTCCTTAACTACTAAAGACCGCATTTGTTGATAGTACTATATTCACCCTCTCAAAAGCAGAGATGTACTAATATATGATTAAGTTTGCTTTGAAATTTCAATATACCAACAACAACAACCAAGCCTTATCCCACTAAGAGGGGTCGGCTACATGGATCAACTTCCGCCATAATGTTCTATGCCGGACTATGTTTTTATCTAAATTGTTAATCTCGAGATATTTCTTAACAACTTCTCTTAAGTTTTCCTAGGTCTTTCTCTACCTCTAACTCTTTGACTCCTCTCCATCTGATTTACTCTCCATGCCAAAGAATCTACAAATCTTCTCTCTACATAGTACTCAAACCACCAAAGTTTATTTTCAACCATCTTTTCTACTATAGGTGCTATCCCAACACTCTCTAATATTGTCACTTCCAATCTTATCTAGTCTAATTTTACCACACTTCCAATGCAACATCCTCATCTTTCTAGTGTCATTCAATAAACCAGACCCAAAAAAATTGTTCATAATTTCTTTTTAAGTTATAGCACCTAAAGAGCATCATATATTCATAGCATAATGCCATGACAAATTTTATCTGAAAAATGACCCGAAATTTATGAAAAATGAAAAGAAAAAACAACTAAAGCATAAAGAAACATAGTTTATGGTGAATCACTGCATTACTCTGGTGCATGTATTGAATGAGTTATGGTGCCCTTATGCTGAGTAACCTAGATAATTAGGTCCAATCAACATTACCACAATGCAAAACCATATAAAGTGTTAACTTCACATTACCAATGTGATGTTTTCAATTCAAATAAAAGAGCACAATGAGGATAATTAATTACCATGTTTGATCCATAAATATCACATTAACCTAACTCCAATCTTAATAATAACGATCCATTTAATGTTTAAATACCAAAATCAAAAACAAAATTAATCAGAGATCAATACATGAAATTATAATAATTGGATTAACAAAACCTAATTTGCATTACAATATTCTCATTTTTCTATCAAAACTAACAAAATAGGAAAATCAAAGATCTAGATATATAAGACCTAGAATCTAAATTTCTAAGCGAGAAACAAGAATTACAAAAAAAATAAATAAATAGTCTTACCGTTAACTAACACGAAGTGTGGAATTCGAGAACCAATCTAAAGCGAATTAGGTTTGAATTCATCGAAGGATGAGAAAAATTGACGAATCTGAAAAGAGTAGAGATAGATAGAGGAAGAACATGCTTTTTCGGTTTTTCCTCTCTCTCACTCTCTTTTTCTTCAGAGGAATTGCATGAAAAAAGAATGCGGTAATTTATATCAGGGGGAAAATGAGAGAAAACGACGTCGTTTTGGGAGCTAGTTTTTGTTTGGGTATAAATGAGGTTGGCATTGCTTTATTTGTAAATTATTTTTGCAGAAAACGCCGGTCAATTATGCGTTTTCCTGAGTTCTTTTATTAATATTCTTTCATTCATCCGTCTTCAATAAAATAATAGTTTTTATTAAAAACTATTAATATTATTGAGTTTAATTGATATCTATTAAAACTCTAAAATATTTTACACTGAACAAAAATTTATTAATCTATAAGTCATATCGTTAATTTAAAAATTATAGTCTGATGTAGTGGAATATACGAAGGTGATTGATTGACAATGTAAAATTATTTTATACTATTTGTATATACCAATTAAATTCAATATTATTTTATGAGATTAAAAATAATATACCGTGTAAACTAGTTTTATACTATTCTTTAATAAAATTATAATATTTTATTATATTATATAATATTTTAAAATTAAACGTGTGATTTAGTGAAATAGATGTATTGATTATCAATCAAATGCTCTTAAAAAAACATTATCACTAAATACTATCAGCACTATTTTATAAATATCATGTGTGTTTTTATACCAGGGGTTTGTTTTTTATTACTAGTTTTCTGAAAAATATTTCTACAGATTTTTTTGTTCTTGTTAAAAAAATGGTAGGCAGTACCACCAGTCCACCATTGGGTACTCTAGGATGTCATCATGATAATGACATACTTGGACTGTGCAAATAGATCCAACCAAAGGGTTTTTAAGGCGCCAAAGGCACATGTGCCTTTGTGTGTTTCTTTTTCCATAAAATTTTCTCACTCAGGTTAATTATATATTTTTTTCATTAAAAAACAGCATTTATCACTTAAAGTTGCATTTACATAGGTTCATATTGCACATATAAATAGTGGTTTTTTAATCATATTTATGTCATAAAGAATTTTAAGTTTCAATTGATTTTTTTTACTATAATGTAATGTATAATATCATTGATTCATGATTTCTTGACCATGTGTATTTTATTTTATTTTATTATTATTAATATTGACATATGGAGAATATGAATGAAAAAAGCATAACTAGCATAACTATATTAAGAAAATATAAGTCTATTTACAATTATTCCAATATTATGTGGATATAGTGGAATTTAAATTTGAAATTTGAGAACTACACTCTCATAATCCAAATTTTCATTACTAGACCAATTTATAGGGGTTAAACGAAGAGAAGTTTCGGCTTAGATACAAACTTAAAGAAAAAAGTCAGATCAAGAGTTTGTAAGGAGGTCAGTAAATTGTTGTGTAAAAGAGATCGGAAGAAGATGAAATAACCTACTCTATAATTTTTCTCGCACAATACCACAATCAAAACTTATGTTTTGTTGTGTTTCTAGAATAAAGAATTTGACGCGATGTGGAGGACGAGTGAAACTTGTTTAATTCTTGAAGGATAGTGCTTTTTTCATGACTCAACTCCAATTGTGGTAGTTGGAGTCACAAAGTGAAGGAGCAACGAGAATGATACTGAGGCTTTCACTAGGATGAAAAAGGTAAAGACTTTGAGGGTCTTGAGTGAGATCTTTAGTGGTGGGGTTTGTAGTGGTAACCGTGTTATCATTGATGACAGTTAGATCATTTTTTGTTAGGTCTTGCAAGGTGAGAGAGAAGTTAAGAAAGACTTGTCAAATGAATTTGAGATGACAATTATGAGGCTTATGGCATATTATCTCGACATTTAAGTAAAGCAAGAAAACAAAGGAATTTTTATCACCGAAGAAGGTTATGCCAAAGAAGTCTTTAAGAAGTTTAAGATGGATGATGTCAATCCGGTTAGCACCCTAATAGAATGTGGTTGTAAGTTGAGCAAGCATGAAAACTGAGAGATTGTGGATCCAACTCTTTACAAAAGTTTGGTTGGAAGCCTACGTTACTTGGCAAGCACAAGTATGAATATTATCTATGTCATATGAGTGTCGTAAATCGTTACATAGAAGCTTCAACAACAACTCACTTTAAGGTGACAAGACTGTGTGTGTGTGTGTGCGTGCGTGCGTGTCTGCGTGCGTGCGTGCGTGCGTGTGTGTGTGTGTGTAAACTACATATTAATGTTCTGCGAATCATATTTTTGTATGCCATACTACTTTTTAACGTACGGGTACATTAGCATATATATATATATATATATATATATATATATATATATATATATATATATATATATATATATATATATATATATATATATATATATATATATATATATATATATATATATATATATATATATATATATATATATATATATATATATATATATATATATATATATATATAAAATAGGTAATACATTTTTTATATATAAAAATGAATATTGTGTTAATACAATTTTCAATTTTGATTTGATTATGTTGATTCGATCCGGTTGCAATGATCGCATTTGTGCGTTAGCAACATTATTATTATTATGTTTTAAAATTCCTCTTGCTTTAAGTTTTTGATAAATTTGGATCTGCATCATTTTTGATCTCTCTTGCAATGATCACGTTAATTGTAGCAAGCTAGTGTGGTGAATTTTATCGGTTTATGTGCGATGCTCTATATTTATCGTCGTATTTTAATTTTGTACACGCGTCCAAAGGTTTCGCTTAGCAGAAATCCGCTTGTTGTGCGCCGACCAATTTGTATTTCGATTTACAACTTTGTGTCTTTTCTTTAATTTTATTATATTGTAGATTCTTGATTCGACTTGTGAGAACCGCTTATGCAGTAGCAATTTGTGTTTTTATGTTAAGAACAACGATCTAACATCATTGTGTTTAGATTCGATCTAATTTCTCTTTGTAGCCTTGCACGTTTTCGCACACGTGACCTTGATTCGCGTATTTGTGTCATGATTTTAATTCGTGCACTTTTCTTTTCAATTTACATTTTGATTCATTTGATGTGTGATGTTAATATTTTGCATGCATCTTATTTCCGTTCACGCCTAAATTGATTTTAAAACTAATTCTTGATTTAATCAAGCCATTTTTAAATCCTTGTAAGTCAGTTTTTTTTAGCATTGCCATCAACCTCATGGTAACACTTTCTCTCTCTTTTTTTTATTGCAGTTTCGTTTACTAGGAGCACCCTTAGGGACTAAGAATCGACATAACTTTTTCTCAAACCCTTATCCAACGTCAAATGGTTACTTTCCTCATAAGTCAGTTGCCTTTTGCAATCGTCATCACGCCAATTCAAACATCGATCGTACATTGAGTATTTTTCTTAAAACTAAAATCTCTTTTCTCAAAAAATACAAAAAAAAATACTTTACTTATATCTCTAA